AAACGAAAGGATGTGACAATAGAAAGCTGCATCTATTCGTGAAAAAAGAAAATGACGTTTTCAGAAGATGTTGATTATTATAAACACCACAGAGAGCATGACAGCTTGTGCTTCCGCTTTGAACAGTGTCGAATGCAAAGTGGTTTGATCAGCAGCAGATTTGACTACATTTAAGCCATAAAGTTCGCTCCAGCGTTTGCTGACTGTTGGCTTTCTCTGCATAAGAAAGTGTGGGAGTGTTTGCATATTGCAAGTTTCTGCGGAGCTCAAAATTTGGGTCTTGTATTCAAGTCAAACTATGATCTTTTTCGGTCTTCCTTTTTTCTTCTGTTTTTCAAAAAATTTTCGATCAATGTCAAGAAAAACTTTCACATCTAGTCTATCCAATCTATCTATCTAATCTATCTATCTAACATTTAAAGAATCGTTAGCTCAGTTCAAAAGTCTTCCAATAGCCGGAAATCGCGGTGCGGTCCCGAAGCCGTGGATGCGATCTAGCACCTTTAATTACTGGTTCACTAGTCTAGTAAATCATTTTGAGAGTATCAGGCCATGCTGGATGTGAACTCGTAATTTCGCATGTTCGATAATCTACTTGTCTACAATCTCTCCAAATACTTACATTTGGGTTTTTTTGCAGATTGTAAGGCGAGTAGTCATTGTGTAAAGCGAGTACTCTGCAGGTTGTGTACGTCTCAGTGATTCTTCCCAAGTTTTTTGTCTAACAATTTTATGTAGCAAATTTGTGCTTCACAGCAGTACTTTTCTGCTTGGCGGTTCTTTGTTGCGGCCATCTGCTCTGCTGTGAATGTCAGATGCGCCTTCTTATCTCTTCACTGAGCTAAACATCACATGGCCATCGTGCCCCAAACATAACGCTTCCCTCTTAGTTACATCTTTCATTCTGAGCTTTCTCAAGCAATTGAGACTGCTATCATGTGGTAGTTCGCTGGAATCTTTGCATAGTTCTGAATATATTTCCTAACATAGCAGAAACTCTGCAAAAATTTCCATATTTTATGCCTTTTTACTTTTTTTCACTATTCGTTCAATGGAAGTTGTTCTCTAAATGGCTCGATCGTTTTGGATTTAACGACGCTTCACTGTGCCCATTGCGATATTTTGTATCGTTCCATCGATTGAAATCACCGTGCAGAAACTTTCTATCAAACACAAGGTTTATATTAATTCGTTATTAAAGATTAGCTGGGTGTTAAGTGTCCGGCTAGCATTAGAATTTGAATCGTATAAAGTAGGGAAAGATTTGGCATGATATGTCTCAAAAACTTTGATTTTTTTAAAAGGTCAGTCCGCTTTTGTTTTTTGATTATGCTAACGATCTTCTGAAGCTGAGGTTGGTAAGACAACAACGTATCTCCTGCTTTTAATCAATCCTATATACTCCATTTGTTCCACAACTTGTTCTGTCTGACATAGGTTTTACCTCAAACTCGCGATATAGGCGATATTATGCCCCTCGAATTATTTAGTCATGTTTTCAGCTTCAAAAGTACCTCCAATATTCAAACAACGGTTTTGAAATTTTTGCCATGTCTGTTGTTTGAAATAACTTGTTTGGTGTGAATGCTAGCCATCATGGTCTTTTTTTTTATTTTTTTGCTCATGTGCGTGCGCTGTTTCACAGTGACGCTATACATACTTGCATTTTATTTCCTCGTGACATTCTTTCCACTCCAGGTCCTTGCACTGCAATTTGTTAAATTTTCCTTTACTCATTGGAACATAATTTAGGTGCTGATTTATAACAGTACAGTAGGGAGTTACAACTTCTTTCAAAGCTCAACGCCATCTTAGTTAGAATCATTGAGCGTCTTCATATCAAGAAAAATCTCTCATCAAATATAGGCAAACCTTTCACTGTCCAAAACGTTCGAGAACACAT